CTCGCCATGTTCAAGCCGTGTTGATCTGTGCTCTGGGCTACTTTTAGTGGCTTTATGTACCCTTCCCCTAAATAGGGGATTTTCATAATATATTCAAAATTATATGCCTATTCTCTTGACAAAAGTTTGCCAGTCTCCTGACAACGGGCAGACCACACTGCTTGAAACGTTGAGTACTCTCCATTCTTATCCGAATCACACGTACTTACAAAAGAGATATTTAGCATGGTGCTACCACAAACCTAGTACCTCTACTTGACACCTTCGCAATGAAACAATTCAAATCCCAACTGATGTATACAAAGAGCGTTGCAATCGATTTGGAGAAAAGAACTACAAAATAATTGTGAGAGATCAACGAATAGCTGGTTTCTAGGCTTGTCTGGATAAACGTCCATAAAACAATTTGAAAACATTGGTAAACTGGTTTATTTCACTCCAAGCAACTAAATTCAGTCTCAATGTGCCAAGTGTTCAAATAATGTTGCGCATCTCTATAGTTGTACAGTTCTGTACAATAAGTCTTGCGCAGTAGCGTCATGGAGCCCATATTTTGTGGAGTCCTAATTTTCCCAGTAAATTAAAATACTTATTTAGGGAGGGAAATGCATTTTTTAACGAGTACTAAACCGTAATTAGACGTTAGGCTTTAAATATCCTATTTCTCACACAGAAATATAAACTCTGGAATTCGCAATAAAAAAGCTTCCGTTGTTAATAATTATTCAGAATTTCCCCCCCGCAAGAATCACAGTTTTCCTTGGGGATTTATGGACAGAATTATTAGGCAGAACTCTCTGAATTAACATAGCTCATACAATACCGATAAGTATTGGCTTGAATAATTATACTGCAGAGAACGAGATTTATAGTCCAACCTGGGACGCGGCAGAGAGACTTCATTCGTCAAACTTCTGCAGGGGGGCCTCGTGTGCTGGGTATTGACCTCTGATGGCCGTGTATTTAAAATGGGATTCAGGAGCGAACGCTAACTCGCAAGGAAAATTGCTGATTTAAGCAAAGTTTAGAAATGTAGTGTACATCTTATAAATTCCCACCGGTTCACGCGCGCTTTATCACTGATGACATTTCTCTTCTGAGAGGAAAAAAGGACCGTCATCTTTCCCAGGCTGTCTGCGCAGGACTCTGGCCTAAATTGGAAAGCGCACGATCGAGTAAAAACCGATTTTGTGTATATGAACAGGCTACAGCGACAAGGACTTACTGGGATGTCCTCGTGCCAAAATCTAATCCGGACAGAACTGGAAACTCTTTTTCTCGAACTTGTAGTAGCGCTACGAGTCACAGGAAAGTCTGTGGAGTAATCCCAGAAAATGTTTCGTTATGCTGAAGAATTGGGCTATGTAAATGTACACAGTTGTACGCATTTAGTTTCATGAAGAAAGAATCTTAACGGGGTTGGAGCGTCGTGATTCAAGAAGGTTGTCTGTGTTTTTTTTTCAACTCCTTCAAATATACATCCTACCACTTGGAGGCCGGCAGGCAGGCTTTGCAAACTGATCGAGTTACCCTCCACCAACCCGTCAATATCAAAGGCTATAATGCAAGCGAGTTGCTCCTGAATCCAGCAACCGTGACGGGACCCTAGACTGAGTCAATATAGCCCGCTGGGTCCAAACATGCGACTCGTTCATTCACCAGAATTACACTCGTTTTCATAACTTCCTTGTTATACTTTGAGAACGTTTGCACCAAGTACGAGGACCCGTGAGTTTAAATATTGTAATGGTGTCGAGTTGCAGAGATGCAGATGCCAAAGATCACGACGCGGATTATAATTTAAATGGAAAGAGTTTACAGGGGTCTACGAAAACTTGAATTTCGAGAAGTTACAGACGTGGAACTCGTCACTCCGATAAACTTGAGGATCATAAGAAAAACCATTGAGACTGACAAACAGCTATTCCTCCGACTTGCTACTATAATGGCGTGCATCACGAGTGATAGGATTGTCACGGGACGAAGTGTCAAAACGCACGTTCGGGTAACAGCTTACCTTGTCGTGTGTAAAGTTTGGCTTGGCCGTGTTACGTCGCTGCTTTTCGCGGTCAAAACGTCATGTCGTCATGGGTGTAAATATTCCCCTCCCCCGCTTGAGGTGTTTGTCTTAATTTGTACCCACTCCGAAGATTATAAACAGGCTTGTAAGAAGGTATTGCTTCCAGGCCGGTTCATACTGCCGGCGAATGCAAAAGCGAAGCGCATTTGATGTCACGAGAAATTTGCAATTGAAATGTGTTCAACTTTTACGAATTCGCAACGCGAATATTTGATCTGACGTCACAAATTTGCGTTTCGCGAACACGAACGCAAAGCCATTGACACGGACTTAAAGCCATTGGATACTGTTTCTCCGAGTCACAGGAATTATATGATGGGTCATATTATTCAAGATATCCCAGAAGGATAAGTAATTCCTTTCCTTTGTGCTTGGTTTGTCGAAGATTTTTGGCCGATTGTTGCTGTCACTTAATTGGTGAACACGAATGCTCAGCACGTCTGAGACAAGGCTCGTGAAGTTACCGCTGGTTAATGTCCAGAAGATGAGTCGCATGCATGCTGTCAGAGCAAAATAGATAAGGCGGAAAACTTGGCTCGTGCCAGATTCGATTACTGTAAATTGCGCTTGGGTTTGTGCAATTTTTATGCTGAATAGAGATTTCATGTGACTGAAGCAACTGGTATCTTTCTTTTCACTGAGTTGGTAAGTCAATTTGTAGCACGCTCTCGCCCATACCAGTGGCGTGGGCGACATGAAAGGTACGATTAGTGATTGGTAACGTGCGGAACAAGTTACGCTGGTCCCGTTTCTATAACCTGCAGTGCTGCACGGCGACCGCCGTCAAGTTATGAATTCAGTCCCAGTCTTACGGTAACATTAAACTTAGACTTAATATCATTAGCGTGCTATTGGAAACATATAGGCTAGGAAGATACTATAATCCGATATAAAGTTGCTGATTTCGGAATACTTTTGCAATAATTATCCAACACGTTTATAATCTATTACCAACTGGGGTAGACAGATCCAATTTAACTGGTACCATACAGTTTAGATCCTTCACACCCGTCATATCTCCCACAACCCTTGGCGTTCCGCCATTTTTCACATGAAGCTGTAAACGAATACGGTGCTTTGGTAAAATCACAATTCTTATTACTTAACTCGTTTATATAAGCTTTAGATCGATGCCGCGGCGTTTGGCGGCATTTGGCGGCATTATAAGGTGATGTGAAAGCTGGAGGTATATGTACGATATTAATCAGGATATAACTGAACGGATTTCTTGACGGGATTGGTCAAGAAAATGGTCAAAATAAGATTTGTTTTTAAAAAATGCTAGTAATATTTGCATGTAATTATAATGATATGTAATTATTTCCTAGAGTAAACCGCCGAACATACTTTGGAGTTTGGAACCTACAAATAGGCCTATGCGTAATATCATAGTCTTCCACACTAAGGTTGATGCGTGAATAACCGCATGGACACAAATCCTACGTGGTTTATCTGTCCAAACTAATTGATTTCATCATCTCTTTTCCGAGAAGAAACGAAATCTCGGCGTGCTGATAGCTCGCCCAGGTTGGTATTTACATTTCATTTTTCATTAGGCACAGGGGCCAGGGGTTTTCGTGACGTCCGTGTGCGCCATTCACGAGTGTTAGTTTTCGTCCCTTTTCCCCTGTGCAATCCTGAAGTCATTTTGTGGTTTAATGGGGACCGATATTGCAATAACAGGTGGCCACTGGCGCCCTATTACACAGATTGAATCGCTATCTGAACGGGAAAAATGCTGTTTAATAACCCCGATACGTTTCCCCGCCGTACCCACCTCGACTCGCTTTTTTTGGCAAACACGGCTTGGCGATGCGGGCGGCGGAGCGGCTGTATTTTGCGAAATGGGAGCAGCGGTGTTGCATTAAACAGGGTTGTTTATTCTGGACGGCGGACACTTCATGATTATTGCTTGTCAGGATATGATTTTCCATTTCAAGACACTTGAACTTAGTATCTTGGAAGGGAAACACGGATTATTTAAAGGGGATGTGGTGATAAAAATCGTCCATGGGGGGTCTCATTGAATCTTTGTTGACTGAATCTAATCCGAAATGTTTCACTTGGCCGTAATGCATATTTACAAGTTTCCCAGCACAAATGTCGAAGAGCTTAACTTCAGAAATGGCTATAGCTTGAAGATTTCAGAGTGAAAAATATCGTCTGCACCTTGTATTAATTTAGCTAATGTCTCCTCGATGTACTTAACGATAACCAATATAGCAGACTTTGCTTATCCAGTAGGATAATTTTAGTAAACATTATCGAGAAACACATTCTGGAAAAAAAAAACATTCACGACAGTACATACCAATCTTTGCTTGCGCCAACAGCAGGTAGATATCTTCTAGCAAAGGTGTACAAGTGTATGCATTTTGACGTGTAGAGGCAATGTAACTATATCAATTCCTACAAGGCATGTTTCGAAAGCAGGAAATGTGGAAATAAGACAATTAGGCCTGACATCTTAGATTTTGACAAAGGATGAGGGAAAGTTTATGTATACACGAATGCTTCCGAAAAGTTCGTAAACAGATTCTGTAGGCCTACCGTACGTGCGGTATACTTCAAACCTTGTTATTCAATCACCCTTTTTGTAGATGGTATTTCTGATATTTATTAGTAAGAAAAATAGGTAGACGTGTGCAGCCGGAGATGGCTCTGTCGAATTTTCGTTTGTGTGTGTGTTCGGGGGGGGGAGGACTTTGGGGAAGGTGAGACAAAATGTCGAGGATTTCTTTTAATATGCAATCTTTGTGGCCTTTCTGAGGTACGAGACTCAATTAGAGGGTCATTTGCAAGCTTTTAGTTCTTAGACTGCCAATTACCAGTTTAACATTTGGAAGCTACTTAAGGTTATTCACCAAAGGGAAACGATACAGAGAATATGAGACAGTAATACTGATAGTCCGTGACTCACCTGGCGGTAGCCTAAGGAGTGTTCATCCTCCATCGGTGACTGGGGGTCGCTAAGTAGAGTCCCGGCGGGATCAGTGTCGCCGACCCGCCAGGCCGTCGCAAGACCAGCATACTGTACGCACAGTAGTAAAACTGCTAGTCCACGTGACAGGGACCAGTGCTGCTGTAGGCCTATGGGGCCTCCAAACATGATGCTACGCTACCTCTTTGGTATCCAGATGTTGACTTAGCTTTAACCCGGGACTAGAGAAAAACAGCCGAGACGTGACGAGTTCCAAGTGTGACACAATTCAAAGGAGTGGATCCGGCACCTGTGCGTGGTGGTACCCATTGCCGGCCGGTTTATATACCCGCCAACGCTAGGTCCACCATACGCGCAGTTGGTCGTGTCATGGGCCCGAGAGTGTTAGGGTCTATACGCTGTCATCCGTCGCGTGCAGGCAGCACCTGCTTGTAAGAGAGTACTCAGAGCACGTGTGAGAGAGCCTATTGGTTTGGGGGCGGGAACTGGACCGCGAGTCAGTGGTGGGTGTGCGGGAGTCCGTGCCCTCCGGATGCAAGGAGGATGCTTCCTGGTATCCTAGCGACGCCGGTGATGATGAGGAGAACGAGGAGGAGACTGCTAATGAAGACACTGTCGGTGATGCGGGTTACGCGTGAAGCAATCTGCATCCTGCTGTGTGAGAGAGTGGCTGTTAGTGTCAGGCTCGTGTACTGCCTGCGGCGTGTAATAGTGTCACGGGTGATTTCATGCCTGGATGGGCGTCAGCAAATCTTTTTGTGTCCTAGCGGGCACTGAAGGGCGCAATGACAGCTCGTATAGTCGTGCACAGAGGTTGTGAGATATAGGCACACTGCGTATAAAAAGATAGGCCTGTTCTTGGCATCGTAAGCACTACCAAACCGACTCGGGAGTGAAAATTGTTAACATGGTTAACAACTGTTACTTGGTTTCATCACGAGCGCTGGGCTTTTCTGGAAGGCACAGCGTCTCTAGACCGTAGGCAAGCATTATTTCCACGGGCGTGTCCATAGCAAAATTGTCGACAATAAGCTACATACGCTCTGTCATGCTGACAAAAGTCACAAAAGAAAGAGAGTGGGACTCGATTACTTCGCTAGAAATAAAGGAAATCAACGGGCCGTAACCTTCGATTACGTAAGCAATCCTGCTGGGCATAAAAGTGGCAGGTGTAGGTGCTCTGTCGGCAAACAGAGGGGAGACGTGTGGCATGTGATTGGCTTCGTATTTTGTAACGCACGTGACGTCCAGGGTGGCAGTTCGGTGACGTAAACCATTCAGATTTATAGATTGAAAATATGACCATTCTAGGCTAATAAGTTTCCAACAGTATTTAAGATAGCATTGCGGGTAACAAAAATTACTTTTCAAATCAGCAAGTTCAATGCCTTCTTATTTGTTTGGTTGTTTGTTGGTTTGTTTTTTAGGTGATGGTGTCGCTGTCTATACAACTGTTGAAGGAAGCGTACTGTCAGTCCCCGGGGATCGAGGTTGAACCGAAGAAAATCCAGTGGTGGCCATGTTGTCTATTCACAAATGTTAAACTGGATATAGAGCCCAGCGGGATTTGCATTTAATGATCGTTATGTAACCACGGTTTTTTTGAATATTAATTACAATAAGGACAATCGTTTAAATGCCCGCGACCTGATTGTGCATTTTTTGGCTCTATTTTTCCGCGCGAACTTGACAGTGCGGCAGCAAATGGCCTCGGAGCCAGACAAACTTTTTCGGATTCTTTGTCTAACATAGATATCTTTTGAATCTGTGCTGTGATTTTTAAACGCCAAACCAATGAGTGACCATGTGAGATAATGTTGGATTGAACAGTAAGGGTGTTGCGACTAACTATAACTACATCTTGCCGCCGGGATTGAAGCTAGTTCAGTGTCCATCGTGTCACCTTCACACGATACCAACTGATCCAAAATAGGCCTAACCCTGAGATATCTTCAAGTAAGACGTCTTTGGAAGATATCCCACGTCAGCCAGGTAACTCTATTCGGCACTTATATTGTGATAAATCACCTTGTAGGGTCGAAGCGGCAAATGAGACGTGCTCCCTTCCTCCAAAATCAACCAAGGTCACTGCAATCAAGTGTCAGGTCGATTTTTCCTGACAATTCACCCTTTCCCAAGACTCATTAAGTAGCATGAATATTCATTGTCCGTCCCCCTCTTATTTCCCCTTTTCTCACAAGAATCGGGAAATTAACGAACCTTGGCAACTCGATACTCCAAGAATCTTGAGGACCGACGATGTCGTGTTATTTGCAGGTCAGAACCGCGTGGTGTGTATCATTGTTCAAGTATACCGCTACATGACTTCCTGCTGTAATAATCGCTTGAGAGGGTGAATCGAATTCCTTTAACAATCGACATTGATGACCTTAAATCAAAGAGCATCGTACTGACGGCGATTGAAGCAATGAGTTTGCTTCAAATCAATGAATTTCAATTGAATACCCAGTCGCAGATGCTGATTGAAATGGAAAATTGCTTTCCGATGAAAGATGAATGTCTTCCGTCCTCTTTACGACAACGATCAGAATCATTTTCGGTCACGAAGCTTCAGAATAATTTTTCCCATTGCCAAAGGTGACAATCTCCTGTCAGTCCCGACAAACTAGCTTAACCCTAACCCCATAGGGTGCATGTAAAATCATACTGACATCAAATCAAGGCTTTACAATTAAACCGACAGTAGATTACTTGTATCGTGTATTCATTTTCCTATGGTCACCCTCCGCTCTGTGAAGCGTCCCCGTTAGTTTATAAAATTCTGCAGAGTATCTGAACTATACAAATATGTTATTAAGGGAAGAGTTCCACATACGGATGCCAGTAATTATTCCCTACAGTCACCTATTAGCCCTCAAAAAGAAAAATACACGTCCAGAAAAGGTCAATTTAGGAGGGAAAAACAAGTCGTTTACCAGGAAAACACTTAAAATTTTTCAGACCAGTCTCATAGGGTTTGTGCACGGGGTGTCAAGCGACGTCCGTATGTGGAACTCTTTCCGTTATGAATTAGGCCTACATAATTATAATCTCTATAGAAACCTTCCGGTTTGAACGCCTAAAACCCACAGCACCGTTGAACGGGTAAAAAAAAAAGAGAAAAGCCTGATTGGAAAATGCGCTGGAAAATTCCTACCATGATCATGATATGAGGCCCAGGGTTTGTTTCCTACTTCAGCAACACAAGGCTAACAGATGTTACAATCATAGCAGTGGTAAGGCAAAGCCAGTAATTACCAAGTACCCCCTCATCGGTTGAAAAGGGCCGTATTAGTCGGGAGTTTGCATTTTGTTGTTGGCGATGCAACTGTAATTCGTGCATTTCATGCTCCTTTGTGAACCGGCGACGTCCAGTTCCTACCAAAGGAGCCTGCGTTACTAGGAAAATTGCGCCCTCTCTTGATCAAGCTCAGGCTGACAACAGATGACATCATTTCCGCACCATTAATGGCATTACTGCCAAATCGCACTGGCATCAACCGTGGTCGAGATGCCAGAACAGAGCCTATGCTCTTGCGTAAGGACCAGCGACAGAATCGAATCAGCCCGCAATCACGGGTAAACGAACTCAACAAAATGGGGGCAATTCGCAGCCGTTGATGACTCTTACGGTGAAAGTTAATTTCAGAACTTGAGTCGGAGACTAACCCGCGCAATCAGACTGCCTCGCGTAATTACATCTCGATGCTGTGAAATCATCAATTCCAAAAATCGTCTGTCATCGTGTTTGCCAGACGAAAGTCTCTCGCTGGAAATTAATTTCCTTTTGATTAACGAACAAGCAGAAGGCGCAACATGTACAATTGACCTACAAAATGTCAGTTTTGCAAGGGCAACGGATGGGGTAAAACGTCTTTTTATGGAAAACACTTCGTTTGCTGGGGGAAAGCGTTAAAATTATAAGCAGTTGAAAGTACATGTAATTCTAATAGGCAACAAACAAAAATAATGGAAAAAACGACCTCTACTCTATCAATCGAGCTTGCATAGGGGCATCTGTATATTCTAATATCGTTAAAGATCAACAGTGCAGTTCGTGACCAGAAGAGCTTATTTGTTATAAAAACTTGCATTTTAAAGATGATTTTATGAGACCGACGCGCTGAATTATGGTTCAATCATAGGCCATTACCCGTAGTCGTAGTAATTGTCAGCGACACATCATCAACTAAAGAAGTGTATCCTTCACCCTTAATGAATATTTTCCCGATCGATAGTCCCAACTTTAGAGCGTAGTTCTCACACGATAGACTGTTTCTGAATACACGGCACTCAACGGCTCGACTGCTGTCGTCGCTCCGTCTAGTTCACTGAGTTGACTGCTTGAAAAGGAACGACAAAATTAGACCTGATACAGATCTCAAGCTACGGACGGAGTCATCAGAACGCCTTGTATAAAACGAAACATCGTAATTTTCAAGCGCCCAGCAGCGGCGGCTCTAGTTTTTAATTTCCAGCGTCATAAAACTCCACTTCTTGATCAAGTTTTCGACATTCTCTTGAGAGAGGAATGTCCGACTTTTACAGGTCTGACACACCGAGGTACCTCATAACTCATGCATTAAGTCTTACGATGCAATGAATCGTAATCCGGCATAAAGTTTCATCAGTGAATATTGTGTGTGTCTTCAGAGCGCAAAAAAGGCCTGACTCCATTAATGGGGCACATAATATGGACTTTTCTATCATACTAATGCTAGCTCAACACCTTAAATAATACATGGCTTTTTTACACCGTAAATTATGGACTAAATTTGATGTAGGAGGATTTTTCATGGTTACCCGTCTCTCGAGCTGCGGTTTTATCAAAGGTGCACAGCATACAAAACTATGGTGTAACTTTAACAGCCTTTGGTATGCATTATTTGGACACAGCGTTACATTGGTGTGGCCTTAAATACACACCAAATTGAACACTAAATTAATACCACATTTTTTGCCATGTCTTTTGAGAAGACCGGTTTCCACTGGATGTGGACGCTTGCTTAAAAAGATCAATGAGCAATGGAGAATCTTTTCCCCGATTGGATGGGTGGGCTTGTCAATGGGCAAAGTGCTACTTTCGCGCCCTGCTCACGTCCTCATAGAGATTAACGGCCAGTTTTCGATTCTGCAGAGAGAGAGAGCTTCAGTGAAATTTCTGAGTGGGGAAACCCCGCACTGTCTTCAGTAAGATGAAAATTGAGAGCCACCAGGCCTGCACTTTTTGCCAGATGCGGCGCCTCTCCTGGGATAGAGACCATTACGTACTCGCCAAGAAGGCTGCAGATGGCCCAAACCTCCCCAGTTAAGTGCCAGGTGGTAAGAGGAGAGGAGAACATCCCAGCCAAATAAAATGATTTCCATCCACTTGAAATCAATGAAGGTGATTTTGAATACACAATGCACCAAGCTAAGATGACAATTTAATGCTGTAAATGATGCTTCCTTCGAGATATTTCACGGATAACCGATTCAAGTGTCTTTTTAGTTTCCTCTTTGCACCTCCAATAGACCACGATAAACATTGCATTACGTCATTATGTTTTAAGTTTATTTCCGAGGAGTCTTGAGGTACAAGCTTAGGTCCTTGTCATAATTATGATAGAAGAGGATTCTTGGCAAAGTGACGTGGGGGCACCTTTAGTTGAACCCAAACAAATTACTTGCGGCTTGCAGGATATAAACCCTGTCCCCTTCAAGATTTCAAATGGAGGGGGGTGGGGGAGGAGCACAGATACCCACGGGGGATGTGATCCCAGCAGTCTCTATGGTTAACGTCTGTGGCTACTGAGAACAGAAATAGGGCATCAAAAATTACACACCTCGTATAAAAAAAACCGGTGACAGTTCGTAATGTGCAGCGAACAGCCAGTATATTTGACGTTCACGATCCATTAGATCCTTCATTTCCTGTCTTCATCCCGTCAGTTTAACAAGATTATGATATTTTGCCAGGTTCCCTCCTCTTACAAGGGGCTGTCAGACTTTACAAAATGGATCTCCCCTAGGCCACCCCTGCAGTCCCTTGATGAACGGCGCGCGTCGAATTCTCTATCAACAACCTAGTCCTACACGCTTGTTATTTTTCAGTACTGCGGGCGTATGTGCGTTGGTGACAAGACACGATATAGGTCGGTTGTGTCGGCTAACGAGACATGACGGGTAGCAGTGGGAAGGGGTGCAGGAATGGAGTGTGTGTGTGTGGAGGGGGGAGTTTAAACCACCAGCCCGACTGCTGCATGAATCACTAGAAATGCGCCCATCAAGCCAGATTACTGATTCACGATCAAGGTAATTGGTTCGAAGATGAGTCCATGAAGACTCTATAGGCACAAAGAGTGCACAGTAGCCTGAAGATGATTCTTCGTGTGCCGGAAGTGCATCGATTGGCGACGGCATTTTGACCACGGGAATTTGATATTGTGCTGTGATGCGTTACTCTGTAACCGTCGTTTTTATTTATTAATTGGGTGAAATTGGCAGGAATGCAGCAAGGTCATAAAACTCTCGTACTATTTGTTTTATTATCAAAAATGTACATGACCGATGATAGCACAGCTATGAGGAAATCCTGCAACAACTCTCCAATGAGGTGATTTCCAGGTAGTCGCAAAGTCAGTGCGGCGGTCTTTCCACTGATCCAATCCCCGCCTTTGTGCTATCAGCCGATAAGGTGCACCATAATTTTGTTAGGCGATATAGAACCCATTACAGCGACCGTCTCCGACACAAGCAAATTGAAGGCATCTGTCAACGGCTGAAGTTGCCAAGGAGAATTTGTTTCTTGTTTCCGTTTGCGCGAGGCAGGAGAACCTTAAGAGGCATACGCCAAAGATACCATTAATCATCCAACGCTCTCCGAAGACGCGAAAAGATCTGCCGTTCTGCCCACTCGGTCGTTTGTCTACAGCACAAACTTAACGTATACGGTAAAGCTAAAAAACAAGAAATGTAAATGAATGCCATCAGTTGAAATGAAACTTTGTAATATAAATTTTCTTACATCATCATAAGGCACTAGATCCGTGACATCTCGATTACGGAAGCATTAGGACAATCGTTGAAAGATCATTGTAATCTTTTAATTACTGGGAGATTTACACTCACGCTGCTGTCAAGATCACTTTCGCTACACGCTTTCTTTGGTAAGCTTCGGTTATAGCGCCCTCGCGAGTAAAATGCAAAGAAAGCAATCTGAGCCTCTAACTGCGGGGAATTCGCTTACGAAAAGATCATTGGATAAGTATCACAAATATCTTAGTCGAAGACGTCATTCCCGACGTCACTTAATAACACGTTTCTTTTTGAGCTGCAGGTGACCAAACCTGAACAAATAAAATTACATCCGTTTTAAATAAATCCGTTAATTAAATCCGATCATATCCGTTTGTTTTAAACTTTGTGCTAGTGCTGCAGTTGACGTAGTCGCGTTTCTAGCTGGTGACATTCCTTCCAGGATAGCTTTGACTTGAGAAGGGATTGGAACCACTACAGGAAAGTTATGATGGCATGCTTTGCTTGGTTTTAAATCACAATGTGATATGGGAAAACCCACGCACGTGTGCCTTGACAATAAATCAGTAAGTACCGTCAAAAGTGAGGGCGCTATTGACATTGTACGAAAGGTGGATCGTACGGCCCCGGGGCCGGCCCCGCGCCAGCGCTCGCAGTGCTGTACGATCATTGATGTCACTCACACACGTTTGGAGCGATCAGCCACGATTTAGCCAGCAGGAAGTGTGGCTGATGTTTTCAACTTTTCAGCAGTGACATTTGCAGTCGACGGTGGAAGTTGGAACGACAAATAATTCGTTGAAGAATAATATTGAAACTAAAAAATACCACTTTACCCGGACAATACGTTAGTTACTCAAGTATATATACAGGCGTGACATTAACGTGTCGACCTCTGCACGAAAGAAGTTCACGTAGGGTAGGGTGTGATGCAGTGGTGTAACTACGGGGGGGGGCATGTGCCTTCCCCCCAGCGGATACTTGCTGTGCCCTCCAAATGCCCCTCCCCCACATGAAATCTTTGTTGAGTTTATGCAGCTGCAGCTTATTGTCTTGTGGCACCCCCGGTGCCCCTGAAAATTTCGCCCTTGTTACGCCAATGGTGTGACAGCGTTGTGCGGTCTCGCACAGGTCCACACAATGTTTTCCCCTCTCTGATAAACAGTTTCAGAGGCATTTTGGAGTCACGGCTACATAGCCGTGACAAAAGGAAGTAGGACAGTCCAGGAATCATCATCAAAAATCTAGCTTAAGAGTTATCCTAGTGGGAGAAAAAGAAGCATTTTCCCGAGTTCTCTTAGCCATGAAGTACAAAGGAATGTCCACACTTCGTATGTGAAACAAGTATGGGTGTGTGTTTGAGGAGGGCTCATCGTAGCCTGGTTTCTTCTACTTCCAACCGATCGTTTAATGACCCTTCAACAAATAAGCCTAGACTGAATGGACTTTTTGGACTTGTGATGACTCGGCTCGGACTCCGTATGACTCCGACTCGACTAGTGTTGGTTGGACAAGGGAAAAACCAGTTCGACCCCACTCGGCCGGCTACATTTGAAAGGGGGGGGGTTCAAATGGCTTAAGAAAACGATTCGCTATCAATTGTCTGATCAATTTTTAAATTTTGCCAGAAAAATCTCTACTCTAGATACCTCAGACAGCTTCTGTAATGTCGATATACATGCAAGTACTTGCACACGTTGTGCCAGAGTCGATTCTGGAGAAACAAACACAAACAGCGAGGTTGTAGAACTATGTACACATTTTATTGAAAACATTGTTATTATTAACAAAGTAGTTACTGTTTTAAAATTTTCAGCCTAGAGTCTACCGTTTGTAAGTAATTCGTGAGTTATTTACAGTGGTATTCAATAAATCAATTATTCGGATTTTCATCACAAACATACAATCACTTTCTATAAGATCTGCGAATTTTTTGAGGTTGACTACAGAAATCTAGGAACTCTAATAATGCTCACGGCAAAAAAAAAAATCAAAGTAATAACACTTGGGAGACGGTGAATTTAACAGACGGCAGAAATAGAAAACCTCTTTACATTAGTTCACTTGAAGAACAAATTGAAAGAGTGTACGGCCTCGTTCAAACTATGACCTATAGCAGCGATCCAGACGGGACTTTTAGTTGGTGAAACACCGACGCATTTTCCAGAGGGAAAAGGTACATATCCTCCTCTAGACGTTTGCTCATGGTTCATACAATATTTGTGGGCCTTATTTTCTCAAAGGCGCACTCGACTGTAACTTCCATGATGCACTTCAGATGTGAAGCACTTCTGATACTTCAGACATGACGCTTCAGATATATCGATACTAGTATCGATAATTAAATAAGGCTGTCACAGCTTTTCAATCAATACGAGACGCGTGGATGATTTCACAACAGTGGCTTAAAGAAAAATATGAATGGAGTTAATGGGATCAGAAGCACTTCCCCCGGAAAGTTATAATCTGAATTTCTGAACTGGTTATTTCGCCCATACAAAAACTAGAAGCTGATCTACTGTTCATGAACGGAACCCCCATTCAAAGAGTACCGGCCCGAGTTGCACAAAATCCTTGGTATAGAACCCTTCGCTTAAGTCAAAGTTACGGCTAATGAAGCAAGTAAGTCGAACCTGGATGCGGCAAGAACACATGATTCGTCTGTAACAATCACGTGCAGACACTGACTTTTTTTAGGATATAAAGAAAGAAAATATATAGTTGTCTCGGTCCTTGGGAAAAAGTCTGAGCTTCAAAGCAGAAACTGTTCGAACAAAGTTTGGAGCCAAGAAAACAAAATCAAAGCCAGACCTCAGCAACTGACCCCAAATTACATTTTTACTTTTAAGTTGAACTGAACAGCACACCGGCCCTGACGCCAATGAGATGAACACATTCGGTGACTGATCCCAGCTTGTTCGTGTTTTTACAAAGGCTATTCGACTCAAGCTTTTTATTTTCTCTCACAAGCGCTTGGAAGCAAATAAAAATACTCTGAACTCGGGTCTTGTTTTAGGCAATCTGATGCTTCTGGGGAAGACCAAAATGACATTGCATTGAGTCGGTGTATTCAACTCACTCAACAGAAGCCCAAAGAGGGATACGAAGCGAGGTTTGGGAGGCCCGATGAAACGTTCCTGACCACCGATTTCTGCTTCAAAGCTCAATCAAACTGACCCCGAACACGTACAGCACCGTGTACAACAATTCTCCAGTCTCCATAGACAGAGAGAGGAAGTACAAAATCATTACAGACATCGTTGGAAGAAGGGAACAAAAAAGATGCGTCTCATGACGAACAAGCCCTACCTCTGAACTGTATACAATGTGACCGCTCGCTATCACTCTCATACAAAACATTTCAAATTGAAGTACAAAGTTCTGTCTTTTCCCCTCTCATTTACACTCATTTACAGTGGGACAGACAGCTGTAGAAAAAAATACGAATAATACAGGTACACTGTTTAAAAAAATCCATGTACCGTTTCACAATAAGTTAATTTTGTTTACAATTGAGGGATATACACTTGTAATATTTATTTGTATAAAAACTGGCACAGTGTTTCAGTAAGCTGTGTCTGGTATTTACAACACTTGTTAACTCTGTCGTTTAGTAATACATGTACAACCATGGTATATAACTAGGAGGTAAGAACGACACCATATGCATATGGTAATTGGCTCAACGAAACGGAACTGTTTTGTTGAACATTGAAGGTCATCTGATTATTAAAAAAAATAGTAACTAAACCTTGCTTTATAATAACGCTAGAACTGTGGGGGATTTTTTGTGAGTTGACATTGTTGGCTTTCAAGCACGCGACCAACTGGTTTCTTCAAACAATACATGGTGCTGTGTCATGGCCGGTGCAATATTCAGATATAACAATATTTCTGATTGGACACAGTCAGCTGACAAAGGCTTCAAGGTCTTTCTGAAACTACACAGGATAACAGAAGTAAAACAGTAACCACAAAGTACAGGCTGTAACCAGAGCAAAAAGTCTGGGAATCAGTTTTGCAAAACGCATGTGATACACTAGGCGGAACTTGATAGGAGGCTACGTACACAAGGCCCCATGACAAGAACGAAATGTTCACTTTTCAGACGGTTTCAAAATCTGGTAAGACTGGTATGCATAAATGCGCACGTACCCAGCAGGCAACAAGATAGAGGAATCAGGGATCTGGAGACTTGGCTTTGGTTTGGAAGTGCGAATGAGAAAGGATGCGTTGGTAACATGCAACAATAGGGACCCATCAGAAATGGTACAGATGCAGGACGCAGCTCGCAAAAAAAAATGGGCAGTTACAATGGAAAAACTCATGAGTGTTACTCGCGAGCGCAGTGATGTGAAATGAATATCGCTTACAGTATGTGAGATGAATTAACCACACAAAGCTAGGATGTTAACCAACTAGTTTTTTAGGAGCAGCATGCAAATCATGTGCGCGTACCATTCCTAATGGTCCATAATATTCCCTTGGAGCAATGCAGCATGCGCAACCGATTTGGGCCTGAACTATGGCCGTACCCCTTGAAGCCTGTGTGAAAGGTCTGAGTACATGACATGCCCTGACCGCAACGACCATTCAACTGCGGGTCCAGCCTCTCCCTAAATCACCAGTGAGGGCACACTTGTGCATGCACCCATCTATACCGCAGAGAATAGATGAAAATTCAACAGTGATTGATTTGTTATGTTTTCTGAACCTGTAGATGATAAAAATGTTTATTTTTGGGACCCTACTATTCAGACAACTTTTTGTTTACACTGAAAAAGTTTCCCCACTTTGGCACTGAGTTCAACGGCAGCGACGTAGAAAATATCACCGATGACAGGTCACTAAATAAGTCTTTTTTATTTTAAGACTTGGTTAAACACTATCATGCAGTATAAAAGTATTACTAACTTCATCTTCTGATCACTTCTGAATTTGGACCGAACACTTAGGACACTAGGCCTGCCTTTCTGGTAAGGGGACTAATGTAGGACTTGATTGCAGTAACTGAGGACTTTGGCTCATGGAAAAACAATGCAACTGGCTGTGGCAAAAAGTTCTGGCAAATGACCGCAATGTTTAAGTTCTGTATGTTGATACCGAGATGATGTCTGTGGTGTAAATGAAGAGCGTGAAAAGAAACAGGAAATACACACAGAGATTACTGGCAGTGTTCGCATGAATCTATAACATGGGCAGCTCAGCAGTTTATCAGAGCTGTGGCCTTACTGTAAAAAAAAAAGGAAAGAAACGTCAGCCTGAAAGGAAAACCCTATGGTTTGAACTTTCAAGCTGTTCATGGATAAGAATGAGTATTTGGATACAAGTAAGCTGGAAATGCAGACATATTTGCCAAAGGACTCAAACCCAAGCCCTGGGGCTCGTACTCTTGTGAGTATCTATACATTCCTCGCTACATGAGTCTCACGCTGTGACTCATGTACCTCCTTAATCAAAAATGCTCAGCAAAGCTCTGATAAGCAGGCTTGATTCTTACTGCACCGAACGAGTTTCTCCAGAACTTGGAAAAAGGATTGAGTCAGAGCTCCACAAGTTATCAAAAGTAATAGCAATAAATACATGAAAATAAACAGGAGGAGGAAAATTAATACTTGGTTTGCTGACGAAATTTTTTTCGGGAGGTATTTCAGCTAGAACAAAATGCGAGTGCTTTCATGTGATTAAAAACCAACCTCCAACAGGAGGGCCTAACCCAGGGGGATTTAACACAATTTCCCAATCAACCTTGTTATTGTCAAATGCAAACAAACAAAAACTACCTCCAGTGTCAGTCCTGAGGAAGCAACGGAAGGGGATTTGGCAAGGACAGCAACAACTCAGAGCCGAGGCAAAACGAGAGAGAAATGTGGCGGCGGGGGACAGAGCGATAGTTCTCTTGCAAGGCTTGAGGAAAGAAAACTGAGCAAGCACCAGTTGCATAATCAGAGAACAATTTGACAAATAATTTCAGCAGTGTTCTTTTGTGCAAATGGGACACATATGAGTCTGGGGGGGATAATGCAATATACTTTTTTTCGGTTTTAAGATCAGCTTGGAGGAACTTCGGCGCTGTACACGGAGCAGTCATTTTCACAGAAAGCAGAAGCTTGAAAAGTAAATTTGTTGCTATGGAGGACCTTTATGCGTAATGGGAAAGACGCAGGGAGCTTAATAATTTGGCAAACACACTAACTTGAATACTTTTAAGTAATAATGAATATTCACATTCTCTGCATCTTTCCCATAATACATGGTCTGTGAATATGTGAAAAGTAAATGTGACTCTCTGACTTTTAATTCATATCTACAATGTCTGAGTCAAGCTGGCTTAAGTACAACTAAGTAGAGAGCTTGCCTTTTTCTAATGGGAATAAAAACATTCATGAAACAGTCACAGGGACATTCGTCTGCATAAATACCAAATTATAATCCCCTCAGTGACTGTTTCATGAAGTACTCACACTCAAGGCAACAACTTAAAACAGGTTGACAAATTCTCCCATGTACAGAAAGAAACGAAGGATAAGTGTCTTTTTTTTCCTGGAGAAATTAAATCATTAAGATGGTGGAAAACAAACCCAAAGTACCCGTTTCTGCGAGACGAAAAAAATGCTCCGAGGGCTGAGAGAATTTGTCAACCAAAACAATTCAAAAATGAATCTACTTGTCCCACTGTGCTATGCACAATTACATGTAAGTTTCAATACGGGAGGGCAGTGCGTACAAAAACAAAATGCAAAGCAATGGCTCTCCGGGTGTGAACCCAGGTGACCCTTATGCATGACCGATAGAGGGCGCCATTCAAAAGACGCCAAACGTCACTAATACTGATTCGCAAAGAGTCCTTTGAAGAATATTTATATGACGTTACTCACTGCAACCCCACTTTATCCAACACTCCTGGGTGTGCCCATAGAATGATACTTGTTACAACAGGCCATAAGCAGCAGCCAAGTTCCAGTTCAACACTGAGTCTGCCTCTGCAGACTTTTCCGCCTTTGTGTGCTCGGGCAAAACAAATAGGGCACGCAGCGTGTTTTAACGTCAACCAGAGGGGAGCCCATTTGCACTTGACGCTTCAAACCAGTCAGCCACGCCCGAGTCCACAGCTAGTTTGTCCCAACACGCAAAGCGGTTAAAAAATTGAACACCCCAGAAGTATCTTTGTTTTTATTTCACGGATGCACCGGGTCACTGGAGGGGCTGTGAGAGCCACTGCTTTGAGAAGAGGTGGGTGGGAAGAGGGGGGGGAGGGGGAAGAGATATATACAACTCTGGGTGTGTTACACCTTGAAGTCTTCCTCTTGCATCTTGGCTAACGTCTTCTTGACTCGCAGCATGGTGAGGCGGGCAGCTGGGTTGGGGTGCCAACACTGCGTCATGACTCTTGCTATTGAAAGAAGGCTCTGTGTGGAGACAAAACAAGGGAATATCAGCCGACATCTGTCCAACAGAAGTCTGAAGTTTACGAGCTTCCCCACAAGTGCAGTGACTTGAGAGGCTTTTGAGAAGTTTGTAGGATCAATAGGAAACCAGGCAAGTACCTGGAAAACTGAGGGGGGGGGGAATTTCCAAACTGCACAAAATCGAGTATAGTGTTTTTCTCTTGGTAACAGCATACGCGACAGGTACAAAACAAGGAAATTGGCTGATCTGAGATTTTTTTTGCAAGCCTCCGGAATTGAGTTGAGCCACTCGAGATGGCCTTGTACGGATAGCAAATCAGAATTATCTAACATCACACAGCAGGAATCTGTGATTACATATACTGTGGGATTTGAGCAAAAAGTGGCAGTTGAAAATACAATTCCAGTCACGAGTGCTTCGTCAACTTTGATGAGGACAGACTGAGTGTGGGGAACATGTCAAGGTCACAGAGCTGCCAACCACCTATCACGTGCTATGATCCAAACGGTCCATACACAAACTCTTGACTTTGAAGTCGCATCAATCAACTTGTTGCTACTGATGCAAGAACTTTTCCCAGTGGACGCATGCATCCATAAAAACCCAAATCCTGCCAAGTCTTTACGCACAAGGTGTTCCACTGTGTAAAAAATCTGACCACTTGGTGCCAAGCCATATTATGAATCAATTAGTTTCTCCGCCAAGGATCCCAATACTCACGTCGTCACCACTCCACCTGTTTGGAATGTCTGGTCTTCTTCTCTCCTGAATGACAACCTTCTGCATTTCCTCATAGGTTGGGTTGGAGCTGGGGACAAAGTCGAAGTACGGCACCTGGGCATCTTCAACTATTCCTGAAGAATCCAATCAAAACATGAAACCGATGAAATCTGACACTCCAGTGGTACCATCACACTTCCAAAGAAAAGCACAACTTGTTGCGCTAAGTACTGGTGTGCCATGAAGTTTGCATATGCATGAATTTATACTCTAAAACCGAATCCCAGTGTTCACGTCAATGCAGCCGCTGTTCTGTGCATGAAGCCATGTGCAATGCCATCAGAGACGCTGCATTTTGCAGTGTCAAACTTTCATGCTGCAAACAACAGCCCGGTCTCTAGCCAAGTTACAAACTAAGTGAAAAAAACTGACAAAAGGGTTCCTTTATCATGTCCACAAAGCAAACATGTGAGTGCATGGTCTTGGGACCGGACTTAATTTGCAGCTGTGCTGGTTGACGAGAAAGAGAAAAAAAAAATGAAATAAAAGGTTACCAACCTCTCGTTACGCATCTCCTTGCAATTTCCCAAAGGACGAGACCAAAGGAGTAGACGTCGGCATTCTTGTACGATTCAAAGGCATTTGTATTCAATGTGCTGTCCAGTGCCTCGGGCGCCATATACCGCTTGTTGCCCGCTCTGCATTTGGTCGGTAAGTCAACCTCGTTGCTCTCACTGGAAGAAGAACATCCAAAAATGGGAAAAAAATTGTGAACAAACTGGAGCAGCGTTGGCAAAAATGGAAAAAAAAACAAAACAAAAAGACCAACTGCAGTGCCCAACCTTGATCCTACTTCTTTGAACACTGAAAGAGTTCACGTCGAAGTCTGAACCAAGTTGGCGAGTCAAAATTGATTTGCCCTTTCTCTTTCACACAGAAACACTTACACCAATATTATGCCATTTTAGTCAATTCCACTGTCAATTCCAACCTCCTTATCCCCTTCAACATCACAACCCAAAGTTTCAACTACAGCAAATTGGCATCACACGTCTCTTTGTTCCACTTCAAAATTGTTTTTTCCTTGTCACCAGCAAGTCTATTAAAGTTAACCGACAACAACTCCTATTTTGATGTGGGCCTTGCGCAGATTCAAATTGAATATACTGTCCACATTTCTGAGGTTGTGGTTTTCACAACAACATGTCGGATTAAATTGTCTCGGTTCCTGGATGTTAATAACATTTTAATTGGCTTCTGGTAGTACTTCAAAGCCGGTAATAACAATCGACATGGCCTCTGAAGCTTCACTGAAGTAGGCAAAGAAATCATCGGCTTCTGTCGAATCACTTTCCTGGCTCGGCTGTGGGCAATCTAGTTAAATCAAATCAATCGTCTGAAGAATTAAAAATGACGGGAGCCGCATCACAGCACTTATTTTTCCTTTCGGGGAAACTGGCACCCCACTGCAATCAGTGACACTTCCTCAACAGGAAATCGTTCAATTTTGGGACTCCAACAAACACCCTGGCCGTCCACCAACTCCCCCCCCCCACAGGCGAGCTTGTCCTGTTGGGATGTCGGGGAGGGAGCATTCCAAAAGGCATAATTATCACCTCCCCCCCATTGACATGGCCACATCCTGATCTAGTTTCCCTGCACGTGGCATTTCTCAAAACAAATGACAGCTTGCGTGGTCGATTTTTTACAGACCTTCTAAGTTCATTTCACCTGGAGGATTTTTCAGCTGATCAACACTGTAACACTGAGCAGTTACCCCTAAACTGCCTCAACTTGAAGACTTAGCGGCACACAAGATTTGGCCACTTGGTTTTGCCCTCAAATGTTTTTGCAACACAACTGCATTCACAAACAGGTCTCTTTGATCTGTTGCTTCACTGGGGTATTGTAAAACACTTTCAGCTGAAAGAATCAGTGTGAGATGTTTGCATGCAGGTACTGTGCCGGTTTGCGCATGTGTGACACCCGGCAAAACAAATAGGGCACGCAGCGTGTTTTAACGTCAACCAGAGGGGAGCCCATTTGCACGCTTCAACCAGTCAGCCACGCCCGAGTCCACAGCTAGTTTGTCTTAACACGCCTCGGACAAAGGAAACAGGGCCCTGTAACAAAAGACTGTACTCCGAACAAAAGACCAGGCTGCTGGGCATTACCAACATTTTTCACTCTCAAAAGTGGAGATAATCCAGCCTTGTTTTGAAACCGTATACCAGGGTTTGGAGCATTGAGAGCGAGCGGATTACCATTGGGGACAAAAGCGCTCCACCACCGCAGCGATGAGCCACACAGCACCTCTGCATGCTAATCTGGCCCCTATTGAAAAGAGGTCAGCAGTGCACTTAGCCAGGTTCTTGAACAAAAGACAGTTATACAACACAGCACAGTCTGGGCTCTGTTTACAAGGCTGCTGGCCTGGCTGAAATACTCAGGCGTCAATGAAGGTCACCTGTCAACTTAGAGTAGTGCCTAAAGATTACTTGGTGCGGCTATAAACGACCGTTAAATGAAATGAGGAATTTTTGAAGGATTTTGAAAACAGAAAAAATGATAGTCATGCCGGCCCAGCATCATCAACATTGAAAAATGCCCCGGCACGAAGTGGTTAATACCAAAGCTTCTTCACGGTCTTCACCAGCCTCGATTAATGACGGACTTTGAAATAACGATTAACAAGTATGAAAAGCTAGTAACGATTAGCAAATTACTCTGTGACTTTGAGCAGCATAATTACCCAACAGCATAATTTTACCGAAGTAATGTCATGAGTAATCTACTTCTGTAATGTGATGAATTTAGAGCTGCGCGAAAGTTTTTACAAAACGTTATCACTCAACGATGGGCCTGTTCAAAGCTTGCCTGTACCTTGAAGCATACCTTAAAAACCTGGCTGCCCGTGACATGTCACCAATGGCACAGGCTCCATTGGCCTTGACCAGAATGTTGCGGCTGTGGATGTCGCGGTGCGCAATGGCCGGCTTCCCCTGCATGCCGCAGATCTCAGAGTGGAGGTGGGCCAGGCCGTTGGCCGCCGAGTGGGCCAACCGGAGCATTGCCTTCGTGTCCAGGATGTTGTAGCGCAGGTAGTTGAAGAGTGCGCCGTGCTCGTGGTACTCGGTTATCAAGAAGAGTTGGGTCCAGGAACCTGACCCTCTGATATCGGCCGCGATGAAACCTGACCAAGACGAACAAAGGGGGGCAGTCTTTATAAAACAGAACTTATGTAGAAAGAAAAAAAAATCAAAGTCACCAATGCTAAGGTATCACAACTTCACATTTTTTCTATGGAGGTAACCCGACGCATGGATTTGGAAAGCCACACCACGTGGGAAACGCTTGTTCAATTTGAACTTTTAAACAGTCTTAAGCTCGTTGGACATCTAATCAGCTTCAACGAGGAGCAGTAGATAGGAACCTGTGACCCAATCACAAGAATAGTTCAGTGTGCGTTCTGGGTGCTGTGTGGAAAGTGGGGGGAGGTAAATCAGCAGTTTTCATCTGAATGTGCACAACCTGGAGGAAACAGACAACTGGGGTAAAATGGCTTGCTCAAGGATACCAGAATGGCTGTATTCACACCCAGGCTGGGCAGATTCCCCAGCCACCTACCCAAAATGTTTTCGTGCCTCATGAGCACTGTCTGATAAATCTCTGTCTCCCTGAACCAGCTGGACTCCTCTTCCGTAAGGTAGATCTTGACTGCCACATGCTCCCCTCGCCACTTGGCCTTCCACACCTCGCCGAAGCGCCCCTGTCCGACGCAGCGTATTAACTGCACCTGCTTGGCTATGGTGCGCTGGACCTGACACCACAGAAAACAAAAACAAAACTGAGGAGGTCGATTGCTTCAAGCTCACACTGTATACTTCCCCGTCTTCAGTTTAAGCAGTTTCAGACTTCAGTCAATACACAAAAGAAGCCTGAATTTCTGGTTACAGAATAATAAAGACTAGTTTGTAAGTGGCGGTTGAATGTGTAATTTGTTTTGGACGATAGGTTATAATGAAACACTGGGAAAACTGTCTAAGTTGCTGAACAGGACTTTGGGTAAGATGTTATAATAAAGAATGATAAACACCGACAGTTAATCGTATGCTATTGACCTTCACGATATGTGACAGTTTTAAGCTCACACGTGCCATCCCAGAGAAATTTGAGGAGCTTATCGCTGACTGACTCTCAAAGCGTTTCTTTTCCATTCCCTTTAGGAACACAATGCATGGTCAGACAGTCTAGTGGTACTGCTACATGACCATGTAAGACTTCATTCCAACAGGTCATGCAGTCTAGAGAACCCTTTAGCCTATAGTGGCAATATTTGGCTTGAAAAGCCCTGCTCAGCAGGGTAATACGAGGGAGGGCGGCTTATCTCGGCTCGCCGCCTGCACTGTTTTCCCTTCCCTTTCTTAATCTGACACTTCCTTCTTCTGCCTTGTCTTGGCATGTTCGTCTGCCCGTCAATGTGCCGAAAAGTGCAGGGACTTCAGTTCTCGCACGACCTTGGATTTGGGGAAGGAGAGGGGAGGTCAACTGTGAGTCGGACTGTCAGTATTACTTACGAGCAGTGGAAGCCCAGAGCCGCTGCCGGATTCTGAGGCCCGGTTCAGAAGCTCACTGAGTGTGTCGCCGTTGGTGAGGTAGGGCTCATTTTGCCGTGTTCGGCTCACCTCCACGTCATATCTTCTCCTAGCTTCTCTCTTTTTTAATCTTTAATCAACCAGTAATTATGAATTAGTTTAAGTAAGGGGAAGAATTAAATATTCTAAGCACTCATCTAAATTTATGTATATCCAAAATTTCAAGAGCAGCAAAATACCCAGGCGGAGAAAGAAGTTGATGGTAACAGGTCACGTTGGGTTGAGCAGTGACAACAATAACTACTGGCGGCTGTGGCTAGGAATAATACACAGGTCAATGGAAGCCAATGGCCAAGCTTCTGTAGCCATTTTCCATAGATAAGTGTGTTACTGTGAGCCGCAGCCAAGTAATTCGGACAAAAGGACACATGAGATGGACTTGTAGCTCGACAGATAATGACTGCCTGCCGGGGGGGGGAGAATAATTCCATTTCAATGCCCAAAAGGTCACCACGCCTCACCTGACATAGAGGAAGGTACTTGTTAGAATGAATAGGACTGCGCAGACTGTTACTGAGATGAGAAGTACAATTTGATGAGCTGTGTCGTACTCGTACTGATCCAGAGTCTCAACTGCATCGGGGAGAGAAAGAAATCGAGGGAACAAATTGACCGTTAACTCACTAGACACACCAGTTCCTTAAGGAGGCCAGTCAGGGTTCGTGTCCAGAGCTTGAACATGCATATTCAAGGCCAGAGAAACCTGAAAATTCAGGTAAATATGCATCAAGTTAAGGGTTTTTTGCCTAAAAAATTAGCAACCCCTCTACTGCAGTCATCATGCCTTTGTTTTCCAACAATATGGGCCATCCTCTAGTACTTTCATGACAAATGCAATTTTTCTCATGGAGTTGACTGGAAAGAAAATCTGCAGGGTTACACTGATAAGATTCGAAACCTGGACCTCAACTGCCGGGAGTGCCTGATGCCCTTGCTGCTGGCTGGGGACAGCTCTCTAATTCAAATTCACTCAATAAGAGTTCAAATCACAAATATCAAATTAAAAAATCAACTTCAACATCAAATTGCGAATATCTGCCAGAAACAAACTCCACCAAATGTTATTGCTGTATTTTTTAGAGGGAAGTTAGGCAGGGCTTCGTGCAAAGACTTTTATCTTGTTGAGCCCTGGGTTACACAGCCCTCAAACTGATCCAGGAAATTTGCCACATAAGCAACGAGTCTTTGGAAAACAGGAATAATCCGTGATGCTATGGCCACTTTTTTTAAAAGGTCATCCCGTGTGCACAAAAAAGGGTAGCAGCGATGTTAATCGCAAATGAAGTATTATCCCCAATAACAGGTGTCGAGGAAACTCCCGTGTCAAACAGCCAAAACAGGAATGTGACCAAAACTTAAGCAGCGGGGTGAACTCCGGGTGAGAAATTCATCGTGCCTGTTTGAACCCCGTTCTTTGTCCCGTGGTGTGATTTATCATACCACGGATGGTGGGGACCAAGTAATAACTCAATTTCTTGGGGAGGGTACGGGCAGGGTCGTGAGAATCAATTGTTCGAGCCACAAGGTGGCTTGTGAAAGTTCATCCTGGGTTCTTCAATGTGTCACTGTTGTGTTCTTCCATCCTCCGGGCAAAAGTCTGTGACACACTACTTGATGAGGCCGGGCACCTAACAAACTTTTTTTGTGGTCAAACTTGAGATTAACCTTGCAAGCAAATGTGTGAAAGAAAATTGAAAAGAGATTGTACAAATTGTCTAGTAATTTCCTCAGACCACTAATACATGTACTAGACCATGCAACTACTTCAAAGTCTATGAGTGGATAAACCCAACACGCACTGCAAAGTGAGAAATTTAAATGCCAGTGAGGAATTTGCTATGAAGTTACATGTACAACGTGAACATGTGAAGGCATACATGTGCATTTATGCCCAGGCATTGTGTGCCTTTGAAAATGTTTGCCCCGTGGGCAGACAAACATAAGTAGTCTTATTTCACCCACCTGTAAATGTTTGTGAGAGAGAAAAATTATGGATTGTAAATTACTATAGAGTTACATGCCCTGTGTAGCATTTGGCAGATGTGGGTTATTTTGCCCCATTACTGGCACTACATGGACAAAGTCTCTTCAGGCAGATAGCAAGCTTCATTTACAATGCAGGAAAACAGATCTGTCTCACGAATTCAGTCAACTTGTCATGGTAACCTGAATACACTTCCTTTTTTTTCTCTGTCCTCAAACCCACTGATTCCCCCTCCTCTGATGGATGGCTGGAGTCGGTGGTCCAGTCTGACCTAATCACCCAAAGACAGGTGGCTAATCCGGGGCACCAGACTGCTTGGAATCAAGAAACACTGACAGGCTACCAGCCAGTCAGGGCAAAATGAAAAAAGCAATCGACAGTGGTGAGTGCTCACAATATCGCCATGAACTTCAATTGGCATTTGAAAACGAGAACAGACTTTTCATACTGTCCCCTGAACAACCAGACATGAGCATGTACACCCAGTAAGTACACAGATGTATACTGATACATGTACATGGGTAATTTCAGAAATTAGGCGTCCAAAAGTGTGACATTTTCGTGTCCCTGTTACATCTGACCTTTGTTATTTGACATGAAAATATCGCCGGAATTATTTTCAAACTATTACTATTTGTTTGGCAGGTAATGTATATCAATTCATCACTCTTGGAAAACAAAAAATGTGTTCTGAACTTACAAAATCATATGTCAGATGTGGCAGGGACATGAAAAAATGGACCCCTAATTTCTGGAATTACCCATATGTACACGTACACGCATCTGCCAAACAGGTTGGCTTTGTACTGTTGACTGTCTAGCTAAACTGTGTTTTGAGACTGATTCGAGTTGAATACACTCTAAAGATTTCATGACTGTGAGCATTTCTGCAGACGTGCTGGGTAAGACACAGCAGAAAATGTTTTGAACTCAAAATGTTTCTGCAGATCTGAAAAGCTTCTGAATTTAACAAAGGAGGGTCCCGAGTCCTATGTTGATTGGTACATGATATCGCATATTGCTCAGTCCCAATAGAAGTTATATTTCACTTCCTTATTTACATTCCATGTAAAACACGTTTTGTGCATACATTTCAAATCAAAATATACATTACTAAAGTAAGTTTTATGTAAAACTTAAAATGCTTGAGTTTTAAACTTAAATTTCAAAAAGTGACATAAAATCCGACAATCCAGTGCATTTTACATAAATGCCAATAAAGTGAAATCCAAGACTTCTGTTGTGTTTTTTTCCTCAGTGAAATAACGGAGGATTACAGAGGACAAGAAAATGTAGGGGGTTGTTAGAATCCCCTGATACCCCAACCACATAGGCCTACATGTACAGTACATAGATGTCCTTCATTGCTACAAAATTTAAATGAACAAGTTTTCCTCAGATGACCAACATTCTGTGGCCGGCGATACGCCGGATACACTGTCTAGCACTCTTTACTATGAGGTGGAGTTTTCGTTTGCGACTATGAAGTTAGCAAGGTCAGTTCTGATCATGTTCCCAGCATGACTGACATACACATACAAACATGTGTACATCCTGTCTGTCCTTGCGCATGAATGATCTCACACTGACAATGTTCATCCATGCCGGGTATGTCAGATGAGTGCTTCTAATGAGCATGGAGTTTTCTGGGGATCAGCAGATTACCTTCTCATTTCCGTTGGGATGTGTAAATAACAAGTCCGCTGTTGTACGGGCTCCGCACTTACACAAGGAAGGAGATCTTTCAACACTGATATTCACACGTGTCTGGCACGGAACAAGCTGGGGCAATTTCTGCAAGTTTGCGGCACATTCCTGCAAAATGAGTCTCCACGCTCCAGGCTATTTTTTTTTTCCTCCCAGTAAAATTTTGTTTGAGCTTGTACATGAAGGACCAAACTGAGCTACGTATTCATTTTGCTGTTCAACCCAGTTTGGCATGCTGCACTGTGAAACATGCAGAGGTAAATGAATTTAAACTCAAACGTGGCTCTGGCGACGTGCGTCTGATTTTATGCACCGTAAAGTCAGGTCCCATTTTGTTTGTAAATGACAAAAACGTGTACAAGAGGGTCAAACTTCCAGGCTAGAGTAGCTAACTAAATGGCTTAATAACATGCAATTTAAACAACTGTATAGGTGTACGTGCCTTGCACGGTTGCACACATTCAGACTTTTCGACGCATGTCCTTGCACTTTTACGCTACCCCATCTGTTTTCCCAGTTACATGGAACGCAATCAAAAGATAATCAAACGCAGAAGCCCGGGACCATGTTTTGGATTTGTCTTGACTTTGCTCAGGCGACATTCTTGCGAGGATGGCCAAAACATCTGTCCCATCCAGCCCGGCATGAGTATCCTTTCACTCATTCCCCCCCCCCTCTTTTTTTTTTTTTTTCAATTTGCCAAGCGCAATATTTATTATCTTAACAAATGCTTTTATTACTTGAGTGTAGTAAACCTTGCAACCCCATGGCCCATTTCAAGCAAACTTGGGGGGAGGGTCTACCTACCATCAACCGGGGATAACCCCCCTAGCTTCCCCTCATTACCAAACACCAAAGCCAGCGTCTCCTTTTATCAAATTATTTCTCCACAAATATTACATTACTCGTTCACCCCCCCAGCTTCCAGTCTTACAAACCAGCAGTATTTTTTTTTTCGATGCAAAACCCAAAGGGGCTTTTCTTCTCAATTTTCACTGGTGACCCGAGGAGGTCGGGCGCCTGCTCTGAAAAGGGGGGGGGGCATGCCCAGGCCGGGTACCAGGGAGACGAGGGCCAGACTGGAATCTAAAGACTGGCACCACTGGGGTCAGGGGTCCGGTCTCACTAGGCCAGTTTTAGATGGTGACTCCATTTGACTTGTGCGAGAAAGAGAAACTGTGTGCTGGTGATGGGGCCCCTCTCCCTTTATTGGATTGACTCCCCTGGCGCATTCCACAATCTCTCTTGCTGGCTCTTGATTTTTTTTTTTATGGGCCGGCGGATATTTTTTATGGACTGGGGTCTGTTTACTGAGAAATAAAACTGAGGCTTTTCAGTGTCAGTGCCAAGAAATAAACCTGGCATTGAATAGGAACACAGAGCAACTCCTGTAGCAGTGACGCTGTTTATGATCCCTGTTTTGTCAGAAACATAGGTTTTTATTGACTGATTTTTCACCCAAGTTTGAAATTAATGAGCCCTAACATCACAAAGTGGTTTTTGTCTGGACTTCAGAAAAACCTGTGACTATGCATCAGTCAATGGCACATGTACACACAATAGTGGGCGACCCTGCTAAATAAATGTACAGGAAGTGGGGGAAAAAAATGAAATACAAAACCCAGGGTTTGATTTCACTGAGGTGGCAAACACTGAAACCTAGGCACAGAGCCTGTAAGTTGAAAAAAAAAAAGGTAAAAGCAAATTTTCCCATGCAAGGTATGCTTAGAGATTCAGTTTGCTAAGCCATCATTTAACGGCAGTTACAATAGGCCAACATGTAAGTGCGGGTACCGGTACATTTGGGACATATACAGTACAAGGACTGCACACATATACATGTACATGTATGTTTATGACATGTATATGGAATGAAACCCTTGGACTTTTTTGTATTTTCCCTGATCACAAATGGACTCATGTAAATGTACAGTGTAGCATAGTCTTAACATAAAATCACTAATACCAGACGAAACGGATCAAAAGCTGTAGTCGGATGATTACACACTCCAGGGCAGTATCACACAAGTCATCCATTTAATGCACTTCAATGAGGTATCATGCACCATCCCGCCATTTTTTTGATGTGCATTTTTTTTGACGTGCAAAAACATACGCTGTCTCTACAAAGGACAAAAACAGAAGTATGACGGAGAAATGAGACGGCAAAACTCGAACCTAATGCATGCCCATAACCAGGTTCAATTTTCTTTTTGTTCATCCAGTCCTGGGTTCAGTCCAGCACCGACGACGGGGGCATTGGAGATGGCTGCTAGAAACGGTGGGGGAGGGGATAGGAAGGAGAAGGCAACACTGTCAGACTGGCAAATTTCCGATTCACGTTTATACCTGGAACATGTGTCGTCGTTGTGGGTTGAAGCGTGGGGCTGAGGTCCACGTTACACATGGGCCTGTCGTTGCAGCACAGCATGATGCGGGGAATGGTGTGCTTCTTGGCCTTGCAAAGGAACTGACCGCCATCATCGATAGGCGGTAGACAACCGTGTGACCTGCAGAAGCAACAACAGAAAAAAACAAGAAAGAAGTATAAGGCTCCTTGCAAACTACTTTGGATGCTGGCCTCTAAGGATGGGAATTTATGTTTAAATGTGTAAACGTCCCACCTGAAATATCAAGGTGTCAATGAAAACTTTACATGTAAATACAAAAAACTGTGCACAATGTAAATACATGTACATGTAGCTGACACAAAGTTTGGGTGATAAATTCATGGTATTTGATATGACCGAGCAGTAGAGTGTTCTGAAAATCGGATTACAGTTTACAGGCATCGTTTATGATAAAAATGAATGCCAGATTGCGTCAATCCAAACGGCAAACCTCTAAAAGGGGCAGTTCTATTTAAACGTTTGGGAAAATCTGTAAATGGATTAGGAACTTTTTCCGTTTAAATGTGTAAACATCCCACCCACACTGGCCTCACTTTGGGACAGTTTAATCTGAGACTTACAAAACACAACGGTTTCTGTAACGCTGACTTTATATAGAGCTAAAAAATACTGAGTGTGCAGTTCCTGCAGTACTTTTTAGCATAAAGGGCCAAACAAAAGAATAGTTGTGCTTCCTATTACATTAAGAAAAAAAGTTAGGTTGGGTACATTTAGGTGAGTGGTGTTTTTTTATTCAAAAATTTTTGGTAAAAAAGCTAGGGTGGGAAATTAGTATTTAGTACTGTTTGGTGTCCTGTTTGGTGACATGTAAATTTTGACCTGGCCGTTGTGTTACGTCGGTAGAAAAATTGGCACTTACGCAAGGAAGAAAAACTAGGAAAATCCGGCCTGTCAATGGCCAAAAAGTGGAAAATGAAATTCAGCATACTCAACAAACAAGCTTGGTTTCACACCCCTGAAATAAGCATGAGGGTCGGCAACAGTGTTTTTTAATTTTCAGTTCTTTTCCTATCAAAGGATTTAGGGTTGGCGCGCTTTGCTAGGTTGGGGAGGGTAACGGGAAGCACAACTATTATTTTGTTGGGCCTGATACGTACTTCAGCTAAAATAATGTATATTCTGCCGTCCTCCTTTCCAAAATCCAGACCTAGGCAGAAAAAATCTTTGTTTTGCAACTGCACTGCAGATGGTATACATATTGGATATTTACATGTAGGTACACATGAAGCCACTTTCCATTTGTTGACCTGTGCTGCCTGCAACACTTACGGTTCGTGTAACCAAGACTTTGAGCCCAGTGTGAGCAGCGTCGCGCTGCCAGGAATTACATAGCAAAACCGGACATCTGTCCACAGCATGAGCTAACACTCAACAGGCACGCCAGGCATGCACTGCATCTACACATGTATTTCTGAAATCTGACGTTTTAATCCTCTTGTGGTATGAGACCCAGTGAGCAAAGCTAAACACTAAGGAGAACCAGCCACAACTGAGTTGCTAGGTTAAGGCTTGGCATACTACAAGCTCTAATGGAACTTGGAAGGCCCAGGTCTGGTTGCAATCATTTCCCACATGGGCTGCCTGAATCCTACCAAATCCACAATTGTAAAGGAAACCAGAAAATGGTTCAACAATATACGTATACATGTACTTCAAACTTTGAAAAGGAATCAAGCCCCATGTTAAGTATTCCCGGCTGGGGCTCTAGCTTCCTTCAATCCATTTTGGAGGATTTGGGACAGTCAGGGTTAAATTAAAGAAAGCCACTACATGTCAAGGTGCTTGAGGCCTCTTGGAGGAACTGCAGTCCTATGGAAAAGAAATGGCCTTTATGCATTAAAATGCTGACAGGCCTCTCAAACTAACATGAGCTACGGTAAGCTGCTGTATGGAATGTCTCAAACACACCAAGATGAAATACAAAAGGCTCACGCCAAATCCAAATAAAGCCTCCGAAATGCATTTCACACATCTTCATATCTCCCTTCTCAGCTCCGCAGGGATGAAAGCTTAAAAATTCAACAACAACCCAAAAAAAAAGGGAAAGAAGCACATTTGCACTCATTCAGAAAGTTGAAATGAGATCACATCCCCCAACCACATTTGGGGAGAGACGATGATAGAATCTGTCGAGCGAACTGCCGCAGACGGAGCGAGGCTCAGGATGTGTGCCTCGAGGTGCTGTCTGACTCACCCCCCTCCTCCTATGAGTAAGGGATTAACGGTGTCGGTTTGGGAGAACTACTCGCCTACTGAAAAAGGAAGGGGGAAGGGGGGTGGTTGTAATTGTGCTAAATAATTCATCTACTGGTTGATTGCTGACGCTCAGATCCCAGTGATAAGACATTTACTTGATTCGAGTGGTGTCACGAACACTCTTCATAAAGTGCAGGCTCATTGATCGAATCTAGCCTAATGGAAAAAAGGGCAAACAGTGTGGTATTAATTCCAACCAATGTTTACAGCACTCCAGCTCCACATACGCTCGTCATTCATTGGTAAGACCTTACACGTAGGAGTGTTTTGGACAACAAGACTGGACAAAAATAAACCCATGACACTGAAGCGTGCACGAATGCATCCATGTCCGTGTACAAATGTAATAGGAGATGAGAAACTAGCAGTCACAGCTGCTCATGAATATTATTAGCACATGGGTCATTCTATAAATTAGGGGTCCAACTGTTTTCATGTCCCTGTCACATCTGACATATGATATTTTAAGATCAGAACACATTCCCTACAACTACCGGAACTGACGAATTAATGCGAATTACCTGCCAAACAAATACATACTGAAATCAATTTCAGTGATATTTCCATGTCAAATTGCATAGGTCAGGTGTAACAGGGGAACAAAAATGGCACATTTTTGGACCCCCCAATTTATAGATTGACCCACATTCTCACGGTCGGACATCCAGGAACTTCTATACATTATTGAATAGCACAAAGGGTAAATTTGCCCCTTTGCCGTGTGTTTTAAGTCAGTGGTGACGTCATGCCGACCGTGAGAATGTACATATAAATACATTGCTATGTACCAGGTTCCATACACTCTTCATTGCTTGTGTTTGGTATATAACCTCATTGATACATATGTGTACATTTACATGTACGTGCAGCATAATGCACAATGTTAAATACAGCAAGACTGGTTGAAAGAGCTCTCCTCTGGCTCCTATATCCTCTCCCCTCGCCCACTCCATAAACCATTTAGAGATTGAACCTGAAATTGGCTGGGCTAGGATTATTGCTAGAGGAGGTGAAGGTGTTAAATTCTATTACGCCGCGACTTATTTTGTCCTTTTTTGGGGAGGGGTTCTTCTTGCCAATTGGGGGCCGTTGCTCATCTCCCCGGGCCTCCCCCCCCCCGGGCTGAAAGCGAGGATGAGGAGGATCAAGTGAGCTCACAAAATGCAGATGGACACATTTAATAACACAAAATTCTGGTTACTCTTAAGGTTTTTATCCCATCGCCCCGGTGGGGAAAAAATTGGGTTAATGACGGGCGAGGACTGTGCCAATCCATTTTTTCTTAATGGGAAATCGGCAAAGAAGTAATGAAGATGCCATGTGGAAAGACATTACGCTCCATTCGGCTGACGTACAGTATTTCTGAATGTGACACCGATGACACATGTATGAAACCCAATATGGCAGCCTTTGGTCTGGTAGGAAGATCGGAGGCCTACAAATGGTTCTGAGGTCAGAGGTGAAACTGAAGCTGTTTAGATTAAAAACAGCTCTACGAGAACAGCTCTATGAGAACAAGGCCGTTAGCAACACCAGCGTCTCCAAAATGTGTAGATCCCACAAAATGAGTTTCACTATGTTGAGTTTGCATTAGAAAGAACAAACTAGACGCTTGTTTTGATGTATGTACATGTATGCTACCACTGAGTTTGGACACTACCTGGGTGAAAGCCGGTGAGGGTCCTTCTTGATTTACACCGAACAAGATTGTTTTAAAGGACTTTAACTCATAAAAGGTTCTGCCAACCTCTAACTCATATTGATTGGCCGGGTCACAGATGTCCAAGTGCTGCACACAAAAATGAACAGCACATACGTGAACTGGCTGCTTGCTGCCACCTACAAATGAAAAGTAGACCATCCCGGCAGTACGTACGCAGACTTATCGTGTCAGGCAGGCCCCTCCCCCTTGTCTCACTTCCTCCTCCCCCTCCCTTACACACTGTAAACAAAAAAGGCTGAACACCAGCACTAAGTAAACACCGACAATAACAACATTCTGCAGTCCAACAAAAGGCCCAGCCCACGACAACAAGGGTGCTAGGTTATGTACCGCAGGCCACTTGTCCACAGTGTATCTTTCAATTCTCCCTAGATAAGTGGCAGCCATTTGCATGTGAATGAAGACAGAGCAAGCAGTTCTCCTATCCTGAGCTGTCTCCATCCGCATTGACCGCTTGTGAAAATCAAAGTGTGTCAATTCTGCCCAATTTCATTCTTCTTTCTCTCACCCTTTTTTCTTCAATGGTGCCAGGTGCTTTGGGCTCCCCCCCCTTGCCGGTCGATCAAGGTCAAACCTTCTCTTCCAATCCCCATCCCTTTCATGCTTTTGTCGTGGTCGGCATAACAACTGACGATTTGATGGTAAGGCTGTACAGCACTTGACAGACCCAAGCAGCCGTGCCAAGTGATGCACCTAATCAGGAGCCAGACTAAAACCTGATCATTGAAAGCTTTCATTTTTTGAAGCAACAAATATTTAAATAAATAATTAAAAAGGTATAATAAACCCCCCCAAAAAACCATCAATACTTTTGATTTCCTATTTCACGTAAAATAGGTACACAGCTGGGGCCAATTTCATAGAGCTGCTTAAGCACTGGATTTGTTTGAGCGCAAAAAACCTTGCTTAATAAACGAAGGTTACCAGCTCAAAATCTATGTGATTGTCATGCTAACCAAAAGACAGGTGAATACCATTCCAAACCAATATATACATGTACATCACATGGAGTTGTTGCTGGTAACCTGATTTGTCAAGCAAGGTTTTTTCACGCTTAAGCAAATTTTGTGCTTAAGCAGCTCTAGGAAAATGAAATTGGCCCCAGCGGCATGTAGGGGCC